AATAGAAATTACTTCATTAGGAAATAGAAATTATTTTATACTTTTTAGTGCATTTCGAAGTCGGTGTATTTTTTTTCTGAAAATTATTTTATTGAAATAAGATTCCTCCATAACCGATTGAGCTAGCGTCCGTATGTAATTCAGTTTTCCTGCTGGGATCAAAAATTATCAACAATGGCTGAGATGTAAGGTGATCTAATATATATTACCGGGCTTCGTTTTGCTCTCGACCCCACGACCACGGAACGTCATTCTTCGTCAGATTTGTTATACAGGCCGTACGCACTGCGAACTTAGGTATAAATTTCCGAAAATAACTTGCGAGGCCCATAAACTGCCTAACTGTCTTTACATCGGTTGGGATAGGTGATTTTAACAATGCTTCTACTTTACGTTTTCCCGGACGGATACCTTCTGCGGATACTTCACGGCCTAAATACTCGATAACTGTTTGGAAAAATTTACATTTCTTTTCATTCAAAGAAAATCCAGCGGTGTCTAACGCATGTAACACGGTTTCTAAGTTTTTTAGTCCCTCCTCTACCGTTTCCGACGGTATTATAATATCATCTAAATATACAATTGCTATAGTAAACCTAAGATTCCCTAAGGCTGCATTAATTGCACGCTGAAATACCGCGGGAGCATTTGCGAGCCCGAATGGCATCCGCAAATATTCATATTGCCCATCCGGAGTGACAAAAGCAGTCTTCTGTATGGAATCTTCCGCTATCGGTATTTGATGAAACCCGGAGGCCATGTTTAATGTTGTAAAATACCGTCCTCGCCCTAACCGATCTAGGTGGTCGTCTATCAAAGGCAATGGATACCTATCTTTAACGGTGATCTTATTCAATCCGCGATAGTCTACCGCGAATGGGGAAACGCTTTCACGAATTATATCGTCTCTGAGCAATTCATCAACAATCCGTCGTACCTCTGCCCGTTGAGAAAAAGACAGACGATACGGCTGATATCTAACCGCTTTATTTTCTTTTAAATTAATTGTTAACTCCCCTATACTCGCGCGTCGCAGCTTATACCCCTCTGTTACCATGGGCTCGTACCGCTGCAGCAAGGTCCCCACTGGCTGGCCGATTTCAGGTGGCAAATCCTCAATTAGGTTGCATCTCCGTTCCGGCTCCTTTAATCCAGTTGCCCGTTCCGACGGATAGTGCATCAGCTTCTTCTCCCCGTTGACTTTTTTGATGCAAAGGCTCTCATGGTCCAGAATATCCTCCCCAATGATGGCGTCGTAAGCCATGGCAGAGTCAGGCACCACCAGGAAGCTGATTTCGGCCGCTGCATCTTCGGTCTGGATCGTAACATCGGTTCGTCCGATAACGGATACGCGACCCCCTCCAAGACCACGCACACTCGTAAAGTGCGGCAATACTTTTAATTTGCACGCTTCGCGATCTTCTCGCGTATCATCGAACAATCGGCACCAGAGTCCAGTAAAGTTTGCACCAATAAATCTTGAAATAATATAGGCGTTAACCCAAGTTCGTTTACTAGTGCAGCATTTGCCTCCCGTTTCTTGGAGTCAGCGTTTCCTTTCGTTCGGGCCAGGTCATCCCGCATTGTACGCTGTTTTGCTCAACATTTATTCTCCTCGTGTCCCAGCTTTAAACAGAAGCCACAAACAGGTCCAACCGGTGCCCTGTTCACCTGTTTCCGCGACGGCTCGTCGATGGTTCTGCGCTTCTTTGGGCATTCCCTTTCAAAATGCCTCACTTCATTACACTCGAAACATCGTTTCCGCGGAATATTATGTGGTCGCGCTGATACAAGATCACTTGAGCGTCTCTTATAATCGCGCACTTGCTCTCCGCGCTCCTGTACTCGGTTACGACCGGGCTCGCGTTCAGCGTCTTTTTTCGCCACTTTCACAAAATTCCCGATAGCACTAAGCAAGTCTGCCGTGGTAGTATACCGGGTATTTATCAAGGTAGTATACCATCACGTTCCCGATCACTAAACTTATTAACTCGCACGGTTTAAAAGCTATCTGCGTTTGTCCGTAATATTTTAATTTATTACGCGCATACTCAGTGTAAGTGGCAGCCGAATCGCTTGTATAAGTCACTGCGCGGGTTAATCATTCACACAAGCGGTCTTCCGTCACGAACACAGAACAAAGGTCCTCGCGAAATTTTTGCCATGTTCGCGGATTACCTTCCCACTCACAGTACCACTTTTTTGCTCGACCAGCCAGAGCATGGGTGGCAAGACTTAATCGCTAAGCAGTCGGAAGTTTTTCCGTAATCGTTTCGACCAGATTACACCATTTCGTAGCGTCCTCGCCAATATCCGAACCACTAAATTCTGGCACTGCTTCTACTAAAGACTCCGGTCTCACAGACGAAGCAGACGAAGTACTCGCGGCCGTTTCTATAAATCGGCGGAATAAATCTTCGATGGAAGTCGCGGAAGTTTTATTTGATTCATCGGTCATCGTGAATGCGGACTTAGCAAAAATTCTGCTATTCGAATCCCACTTCTGATGTTAGATACTTTTCGAAAGAGATGCGTTCCCAATTATGGTGCTGGGGTAAGTCCCGAGAGGTCAAACTCAGTCCTCTTACCAAAGGCATCCCTGCCTCCCCACTACGTGGCCAGATCCTCCAGGAACAACGTCCCTATTCGACTAAGCAATGCAATAACAAACTATCTATCCTTTTCTACAATCTCAGAAGCTAACAAAGCAAGCAATCCTACTGCATCTGATGACCATAGGACTCCAAGTCAATAGCCATCATCTATCGCTACACTTGGTCTCTTATAAACGACCTTTCGCTTAGACCTCACGCAGGCTATCCCTATCATAAATCGTTCGAAGGCAAAATAGCACAGGCTAATTGCCCTCAACGACCCTCCAAAATACATTGGCGCTAACATGCATGAGTGAGACAGACGCTGATCTATGCAAACAAGATGGCCGTCGCGGGACACTCGCCTTAATACTGGAAACGATACTTATTGCTAGATTCGACAAAGGTGCAGGTAAATAAATAAAAAATTCATTACATCCGTTGAATTCGGTGAAATACCTAATTTTGTGGATTTCATAGAAAAACGAACTGGACTCCGATAAGTTATCACAATTTAATTTAATATTAATATAAAATTCATATAAAAAATGTGAAGATATCCTGACACCTTATCTTAGTTTGTTCAGCAATAAATTTCAAAATATTATATTTTAATACCCTGAAATAATACTAGAATATTATGTTATTATACCTTAATACTTTGACGGCCGAAGTAACGTATATGTACGTGAATTCACGAGCCAGCGGTTATCGGCGGAACTCACGTATACGTGACTTCGCGCAATCGCCAGTTACCTGCTGGGTTCATTTATTCAAATATTTGCAAAGCGTCAGTTGCTTATTGTTCATACATTGTTTGTTTATTGTTTATCAATTGTATGTCTACTTTACTTATCTGTTTATATATCCATCTATGTATCTATTTATTTATATTCATATAAATATGCAATCATCAAAACTGACTAAAAATGACGACGAGATATATGCCGATAACTTGACAAATGTTAGTGGGCCAGAATCAAATGACAGCGAAAATTCAGACAGTGGAAGCGAAATTCTTGTTAGCAAACTGAAAAATTTGATGAAGTCAGTAATAGATTCCGATGAGAAAGATAGTAATACATCCGACGTAGACGAAATGGAATGGACCCGAACAGACATTTATCTGCTCTTCATGTAGTATTCCGCTGCACATTGAACTGTGCTTTGAAAAATATCATACAAAATCAAAATACTAAAATAATTGTTTAAAAACCAGCATGCCGTGTAATTATTATAGAATTATATTTTTATTTTTTTTTTTTATTTTTAAATTTATTTATCATTATATTTTGTATATTTATATAGTCTAGTACGTTACTATTATACTTTAGTTTATTATTTCACTGTTATGTAATACATTTTGATTACTAAATACTGTTAATCGATGAATTATGCGACAGTATATGGGCAGCATGGTTTCCTCAAAAGCCTGTCAATTTGTCACAAAGCTGACAAAATGTGCCAGCTGCAAGCGGAACTTTTTTCCGAAGTCTGCGGCCGTTAAAGTGTTAAAATGATCTTTAAATTGTAGAAACGATGTGAGATATATCTCGCACGCTCAATACCCACTAACCGTTACAAATAAAATGCAAATGTATCTGTTTACATCTGTTTAAACATCATTCTGTCAATTAATTACATACGTAGAAATGTAAGTTTTCCATAATTTAGAAAAATATTAATAGTCTCTCTATACGGATTATTTTGTACAAAAAATATACAATGGTTATTGAAAATATCCGTACATTCTGAATCAATCACGTATGATATTAAAAAAAATTGCGGTTTCAAGTAAGCAAATACTATCGGCAAAATAATTCATATTACAACTACCAATATTAAATGTACACTTCCTGTCAAATTAAATATGATGTATACAGAAAGAAATAAGTAAATACAGAAGAAACAACAAACATATACAATTATTCTTTATTACAACAGAATATGGCCAATATTTCTATAAACGCACAACAATAATATTTTGCCATAAAAAAATATGAAACCTGAAATCGGTCATTTTAACTGATTAATATTTCTAGCATTAGTAAGATATTATTAATAATACCTGCCTATGACAATAGAAATCTTGTTAATTCTAATTCTGATAAAAACTCGAGTGCGATTGCTGAAGTAATTACCGTAAATGAGGTACGAAATCTGCCTAATAAAATTTCTTTTATAATTTGGAGGTGATCTTGAGTTTGCGAGTAAAATTTTGTATGTCAAAGACGAGTATAAAATATTCCATTGACGAAGATGCAACGACTAATGTATTTATTAATAAATTCTTCAATATAATTCTGTCTACCATTCATGTTTTAACTAAAACTTTATCAAAAAGTATTATGATTTATTGGAATAATCAAATTCAGGCGTACATGATACTATTCCATATATTTCTTTTCATTCATCTTTGGATATTGCTACACGTAGAACAGAAAATAAAGAGAATACGTTCGAGATGAACTGAAAACATTCAAAATTATTAGAAATGTTACCAATAACACTTATTGAGTATACAACGCTGTTACATACCGAGCAAAAGTAACTTAACGAGAGAGTTGAAATAACACAAGGGATTTTAATAGCCACAGGAGGCTGTGGCACCATCATAATCTGGACGTCTCTCTGTACTTTCGTAGATTGTTCGTACCATGTTGATTCGAATACACTCTTCATTGCATTATTACTCTAATAATAACAAGTTCATGTTAATTCCAATATTAAGTTCAAGGTGGTAGTGGTAAATTTCTTTATAAATGGTAGAATAGCGATCCATTTTTATGCAACCGTGAAATTTATATAGTCTACATTGACAGGTAATTTACAATAATTTTATCACAGATTTTTAGCTGTATACAAAGTTGTATGCACGATTTCTAATAGTGTAGTATATAAAATAATATCTCACCTTGTCTAGAAGATGATCTGCAGGCCAGGCAGTGACAAAAACCGCAAGCGTTACAGTTGCAACTACAGCCATGTATTGACATTTCACAGCGAGCGGTTGTGGCTGTTTATGAAAACAAATTATCCCACGATTAAATTCAGTTAATTCTGGCAGTGATATTGTTGTTACTTACTTGTATTAAATTTATGCCACAAAATACTATTACTACAGCATTCGTGATTACCGAACATGGAGTTATGAACTTCGCAATGTTAACCACTACATTCGCGTATCTGAAATAATGCAATTTATTTAACCATAAATAACAAATATTGAATTGCATAATTTCTTTATACCCTTTAACAACACAATACTCCTTCATGTGTATTATCATCTCGTCTGTGCTTTTAACATCACGTAGTCTCTGCTTCAAGATCTCAAAACGGGCTGCAGCGAAGAACAACAGAAAAGCACAAAACATGTTAATTATCATGTTCGCAGTACAGCTGAGAATATAGAACGATTGATGAAAAAATATCATGCTTTTGCATGGTTGATAATCAATGCGGAACGGATATATAGCGTTCATAGGAAAAGGATCGGATGTAATAAACGTCTTCAAAATGAATATCACTCCCGTTACGTAGCTCCATATAATTGATATCCCATAAAACGTGGAAAATTCAGCCATATACCGTTGAAACACACGTCTTCCGTGATCGTTTGCGTTCTTGTAAGAATCTTCCGTAAGTTCCATCACCATCTGGATCGTGTATCCAAATTATTTTAACTGATTAGGTAAGGTTAATTAAGCTTATAGTGAACAACTATACTTATTATATTCTACATATACAGTGCCTTGCGCAAATTTACCAAATCCCTATACTTTCAGTGATATGAACTTTTGCTAGAAAATTATAGCTAATATTCCAAAATACTAATTCATAGTATCTAAACAATAAATTCTTCAATAATTTTCAGGCGTTGCATGAATGTAGTAACTTTGTATAGTTTTTAAATGTTGACATCAACCAAGCTTCATAAACAAAGTCATTATGTTACCTGCCTTTGTCTCACTTTACGTTTATAAAAGTTTCGATTTTCCATTTTTCCATTTTCCAGTTTCCATTTTCAAGAAAATGGAAGTTTCGAAATTAGGATTATTATTCCAAAATAATAATTCATATTCTACAAAGAATAAATTGGACAAAAAAAAATATATTAACGTTGTAACGCGTTTGATTAGAATACGCAAAAGTCGCTCGCGTTAACGCGTTCGCGTCGCGGGCGAGGGTTACGCCAGAAGGTTAGGTAACGTTTCTTGGATGTTAGAAAGGACGTTTTCAGGAAAACGGAGAGCCTGGTCCGCGTAGGTCCGGCTGCCCCAGAGGATGGTTTGCGAAGTCTCAGTGTTTCGAGAGCCTGGTCCGTTAAGGTCCGGCAGCTCAGAACTATGAGTCCTTTTGGAAATTTTGCAAGACTAGAGAGCCTGGTCCGCTAAGGTCCGGCTGCTCCGAGGGTCAAGGTTTGATTTCCAGGAAAAGACTGACTTGGCCCTAACTTTTCCCGGTATTTATATTTTTTTCGACTTCTGGGTCCGACCAATCACGGGCGCGCGTTGTCATGCCCAAGGGTTCTTTATGGCATTGCCTGCCCGAGGTACGCTGGTTACGCGGCGTACGATACATACATTTTCTTATAACTAATCTATGTACATTATTTACACGTTAAGTGCTTTTCCGCTACAACGTAGATATTTAGCTGTGTTATAAAAAATCTAGTATTCAGTCGTGTCATAAATATAGTAACCTTGTATTATTTCTTAATGTTAACATCAATCGAGCTTTAAGAACAGATAAAGTCAAATAAAAATTTGTTCATAGTAGAACAAAGTAAAATTTGTTTATGGAGGTTAGAAAGTGGAGATCCTTGTAGAAAAGGACTTTCAAGACACATGATCGGTGCTATGCGCATTGTAGGCAGAGGTTACAATTGTATTGTGAGTTTAAAAAGGAAGATAATTCATACTTTCAATAAATCAATAAAGTAAACTATTAGTAAGATAAAAGGAATATTATAAGAATGTGTATTCTATAAGAAACGAATATTTAGTGGGTACAGTTTGTTTTTTGCTCCTTCTACTCATATTTAGTGGCGATAAAAAATAAAATCTTGATAAGCCAAATGTTTTTAATTTGTATTAGCACAACATGCAAAAGGATGTAAAATATTTTTCAAAGAGTAACTTCGGTGGTAGCTCGGTTAAGGCTTGTACGTGTTTTTCAATTCATGAAAAAACCTCCATAGTATTTGTTGAAAATTGAAAATTATAGAAAGCCTTATTGGATAGAACACCATAACGAAAATTTAATTTTCATGCAGGATAATGCATCGATTTATAATTTTGCGCGTGCATTTAGATGGTTTTCGGAAAATAATATTCTGTTATTAGATTAGTCTGCATGTTTCCCTGAAGTTAATATTATGGAAAATTTATAGGAAATATTAACGCAAATGATTTTATGAAATAATTGTTTATATTTAAGTGTAGATGAATAAAAACTTGAAATAGTTGGTACCTGGATCAATGTAGTGAAGAACATTGTACAAAATCTAATTGATAATATGTCGAATTAAATTTTCGATATAATTCATGGTTAAAGCACGACAAATTATTAAATTCTGTATTTTTTAACACAAAACACAGTAGAACAGTTTTTTTAACGCTTCGTATGTTTATAGAACGTCTGAAAATTAATTTTTATGCAAGTAAGATGAATATTTTGTAGTTCACAACTGTAATGGTTCTCAACTGAAAACGCAGATTCGTAAGAACAGAGGCGGTTGGTATATTTATGTAGCGCACTGTGTTATAGTTTATAGTCTAGTAATTACCAAGAAAAAAATGTCTTACCCGTATATCGTTGGAGCGAATTATGCCAATACTTATGTTTGAAATTGTCTGAAATACTCCCACTAGATAAACAGCAGATTGCGATACATCTAGGGGATCAGTGTATGTTTGTATAGCGGTTATTAAGGGATAAAAACAAAAGGCCGAATTAAGTATTGATAGTATTTTGAGGGCATTGTAACATGTAACTTTTGATTTGCTTGCTTCCGAAGAAAGTGGTAAAAAAAGAGCTACTATCATACTAAATCGCATAAATGCGATCGCTTTCTCCGGTGTTGCATTCTTAAACATCATCGACTAAAACTATCGAAATACTTAGGTTATCCGTCCACAATGTTACAATGTATTACAGACGCGCCATCAATTGCTGTATGATTCCTTCCCACTTCAATATATTGTTTAAAAATTGAAGCAATGAATACTTTGACACTTACATTAATATCTTCGAACTACTCATTAAAAGCAGTATTGCTATGCATTGTTCACTCTAACCGCATTAATAGTCCTTGTTCGAAAATTCGTAGGTGTAAAATAAATTTGCGAATAACTTTCAGAGCAGACCGATGTTACATCCAACTATGGCAACTATCAAATGACGCGTGATCGAACGCAAGCACGTGTAGACCCCTTGTCCTATTAAAAAGTAATACGTTAGGGTTCTTGTAGCTGTAATAATAGTCATGCACTATTTCTCTGTATTTCATTAGGTAGTTATCTTTCTCGTATACGGACGATGAGCGCGATATTCTTCAGTATGAGAAGCTTGGCATATGTAGCAGATATTATGGGGCGTGCAATTATTCATTATTCCTGCAGAGTTTATGGAATGACGACTTTTCAGACAATTGTTGTATCGTTTGAAACATAATGCTATCTATCATTTCCAATAAGAAAATGATAGATAATTGACGTAAATCCACGTAATTACATGTGTAATATATTACTGTATACATACATCATAAAATGTATGTACTATATCACCTCGAATGAATAACAGTGTTTATCCGCAGTATTCCACCTGATTCTCTTGAAGTGTTTAGGTACAAAAAGTCAGTAATATTTGCAACTTGTTTGTACATTTTGTGAGTTTTCACGATCGTTTAATGATTAATTATGTCATTTCAAATGTTATACATAGCGCGGCAAGGTATATTGTTGGTAAATTAGTTCATTTCGACGATAATAGTAAAGGTTCGTAAAATGATTCATAGAAAGCTTTATCGCAGAACATGATGTCTACAACTATATCTTCTGTACTAATTTAATTATCGTTAGCTACCGGTTATCGCAAGCCAAAACAGACAAAACGGTGTCCAGACAATACGATTACACTGTCATGATACAAACGCGCTTGTTCATAATTAGAGTGAACCGTTACGCTCGAACCCATAAGCCTCACAGCAGGACGCGCACCCTTTGCACGCTCCGATTGATTTGTGTTTTTCGTTAATAATTTAAGAGCGAAGCCTGAACCAGCATTTTCACAAATGAAAATTGTCTTGAATGCTCTACAATTATCATCCCCTGCAGTTATACCCACCTATATCCGAACACCCTGTGTATTATCTCGATATAACCAATATTTTATTTTAAAGACAGGGCATACTATTTATGAAACAAAAATAAAATTGCAATTTTACAGATTTACTACTGTTTATATAAAATAATACGATTTTAAACATAACACTCGTATGATACATACCATATTGTATATTGTTCTCGCATTTTATTTGTTCCTTTCTGTAACCTAACCAGGTAGACAGTTAGCTTTCCGTTACAACTTTTATATCATTAAAATTACTAATTTTATTTTTTAACTATAAATGAATTTTCATTGTTCCAATAATATTATTTTTTATATGAATGCACCGATATGTTCACCAAGTACAATTGTATTCCTTTTTTAGTGCAACTCAATTTTTTTGCTGAACTAATGGATCGCTTTTATTATTACATATATAAAAGTATTACGTCGAGATCATCGAAATTCTAATACTTCACAAGACATTCGACTCTTTACGTCAGAAATGTATTGAATTAGAATGTGCGCAAAATGATATTAGTAGGAATTGATAATGCCGTATTCACTATTCCCTATTTACGTTTGCCTACCAATCTTTTTCTCACTGATTGCTAAGTATAACTGTTTGATGTACATTTTAGTGACATAATAATTAGTTACAACGTAGACCTGATAAGCGTAATCTAATAAATACCCTAATTCATGAAGTGAATTCACGTCCTTCTATTTCGGTTAACGATTTGTGGGAGCGTATCAAAATGTTCGATTGTCAATGTATATCGATTAAAATATGTAATGAAATGTTAAATAAATGCATTAGAATGTGTTTAAAATACAGTGGCAGGACATTCGAATACTTATTATAATAAAATATATTTCTATCAGAATATGTTAAATATTTCGTAAACTACTGGCATTTCAATAATGACTTCGAGTAAGCACATTTATATGCAGAGTAATAAGAAGAATCGGTTAGTTTTAACGAGAAAAATGGGTTAGTTAAAACGTATTATATCATATCATTTTTTTACTGACAATTTATTTTTATTGTTAATTA